TCCACTGTGGTCTGCTCCAAGCACCTTCACAGTTCTTGCTCTTTCCTCCTTATGGCTTGGGTGTTCCAGTTATGTGCACACCCCCTACATAGGTGCACACCCCCTAAAGAGGTGCACACTCCCCTACTGAAGTGCACACTCCTCTACAGAGGTGCACACTCCTCTACAGAGGTGCACACTCCCCTACAGAGGTGCACACTCCCCTACAGAGGTACACTCCCCTACAGAGGGGCACACTCCTCTACAGAGGTGCACACTCCTCTACAGAGGTGCACACTCCCCTACAGAGGTGCACACTCCCCTACAGAGGTACACACACCCTACAGAGGGGCACACTCCCCTACAGAGGTGAACACTTCCTACAGAGGTGCACCCTTCCTATAGAAGGGCACACTACACTACAGAGGTGCAAACTCCCCTACAGAGGTGCACACTTCCTACTGAGGTGCACACTCCCCTACAGAGGTGCACACTCCCCTACAGAAGTTCACACTGCTTACAGAGGTGCACACTCCCCTACAGAGGTGCACACTCCCATACAGAGGTGCACACTCCCCTACAGATGTGCACACCCCATACAGAGGTGAACACTCCCCTACAGAGGTGCACACTCCCCTACAGTGGTGCACACTCCTCTACAGAGGTGCACACTCCTCTACAGAGGTATACATTCCCCTACTGAGGTGCACACTCCCATACTAAAGTGCACACTCCCCTACTGAAGTGCATCATGTAGACCCCTCCTGGTTTTGTATACAATTCACAGTTTCCAACCCAAATGTCCAAGACCTATCTCAGAAACGCTGAAGGAAAGCCCTAAGCCTGCTCATAATGTAGATAAATATATGAATTAGAATGCACGTTGGTGTATGTGAGCTGTCTGTCCCTCACAGAGAGGCTCTGTGACACACACACCCCACACCCAGGCCCCCTAAAACCAGACATGTCCACTCCTCATGCAGCTGTGTGGCCTGTGGATAGGGGTGGCCTGAGCAAGATCTCAGAGAAAATGGGGCTCCCTTGGCAACAACTCAGGAGGGAGGGTGGTCAGCCCTGCACTGATTGTGGGAGCTTCAGGTCGGCTCTGCCACTGGCCTCAAGTCCATGACAACACCCAGTGTCCAGGACCACTCTGACTCCATCTTGATGTGAGGTGACCCTGAGCCTGAGAAGCGCCAGGACACCTGGTTGCTTGGGGGAAGCAGCATGGAGCCTGCCTGGGTTTCCAGCCACTGTGGCTGCATTGCAGGGTCACAGACAGGGACACCTGGGCTCTGTCTCTGCTCATGGCAGTGCCCAGCCTGTCCTGAGAGTCCAGCCCCAGTCTGGGTGAGCATGAGCAGTGGCAATTTTTATATCCCAGATTGTCCTAAGCTACTCCTGGTTCATTCCAGAAAGTTAATTCTTTTTTTGTTTTTCCAAAAGATGTTCATTGGCAGTTAAAACACTGATTTTTATATGCTAAACTTATAAGTCCCTCATTTAGTCTTTTATATTTTATATCAATGCAAGACATTTCTGCACCAATCAACAATACTTCTATATTTTAAATATTTTATTTGAGCAGTGTAATTATATATAATTATGTGGTTTACGTTGGTATATCCAAAATTCAAAATGCATACACAACATTTGGTAGAAGAGTCATTTTTTCCTGCCTGTGTTTTCTCTATGAAATTTCTCTACCTATCATAATCTTCTCAAATTATTAACTATTTTTCTTTATACCAAATACATATATAATAACTTTTATTTACCTTATGTTTCTAATATCTTTATATGTCTGATTAATAATCATATTTTGTACAATATTTTCTTCATTAGTGAACACAAATGATATTAGTTCTGATAAACAGAATTTTCCCAACTATTTATTTCCCAGTGGATTAGTTTCTGTCTCCTGTGTCTCACTGAATCCTTTGGACTTGCTCTGGGGGCCTCATTAAGCTCCTTCCTGGCCCAGGTGGATACTGGGATCACTTTCCCTAAACAAGACACCCCTCATTGCATACAGTCTGTATTTGATTGATTAAACTTGCTTTATTTTGGAAAACAGGCACCGAGGATAGAATTCAGGGGGACCTTGACCACTAGGCCACATCCCCCACTGTTCTGTATTTTATTTAGAGATGGGGACTTACTGAGGTTTTAGTGCCTCACTGTTGCTGAGGCAGGCTTTTAATTTGAGATCCTCCTGCCTCAGCCTCCTGAGCCCCTGGGAGAACAGGTGTGCACCACTGTACCCAGCTTATGCCTGGTTTTATAAGTATAAAATTAGGATTTAGATCCATAAATTAGATTTAGAGATTTGACAGTTTAATACATTTTGAAGGATGTGGGTGAGAAATGAGGTGTTCTATGCAGTGGTCTTTCTCATGTGAAGGTGTTTCATCATCAACATCAATAAGAATGTCAGCATCTCTCCATCAGACAACAGCTGGCCATTCCAGCTGTATTTTCACACTTACACTGAAACCTAGCTCTAGTGAGGCACAGGACAGCACCCTGACACAGGGGTGCCAGGCGCCATGGTGGATCCCAGGCTGTGCACACCCAGCTGCCCATCACCTGTCCCTCCTGGGTGTGGGAAGCCACCAGCTGCTCTGCCCCAGTCACTGTGAAGCACAGCCTGGCTGTGGGCCACAGGTGCCCTGTGAGCTGCAGAGCCCCAAGACAAGGCTCTCTTTGCATGTGGCCCTCACCACCCACCCTCACCCTCACCCTTCCTGCACCTTCCCATCTCCAGGGGCCACTGTCCTCTCTCTTTCTAGGACCTGATGCAGCAGCTTCCCCACATGAGGGATGGTGTGGTGATGGTCTCCCTCTTCCTGACCCATTTCAGCTAGGTCCATGTGCTCCAGGGCCATGCCCAGGGCCAAAAGGGCAGGATGCCATTCTTTTTGGCAAATTACCTTCTTTCTCTGTGGACAGCATATTATCTACATCTCCATTAGGGGACACACGGTGATCATGAAAAGTGCTTCAACACTCATGGGACTGGAGTTACGGTCAGGCCTCTTGGACACATGTCCCACCTGATGTGCACACTGGACAGAGGTCCTCTCCTTAAGCTGTAGACTGACTCACCCAATGTCTCGGCTGACCTCAGGTTGGTCTCATGTCAGGTGTTGGGGCCTTCGTGGTCATGCTCCCAGGGTCCACTACTCATGCATAAGGACACTTTGTAGTGGTCACATTCTGACCATGTGCTGCCTGAGTTGAGGCCTACCCAGAGAATCCTCTGTAATGCATCCTCTAGAGTAAGAGCCACCCCCACATTCTGGCACCCTGTGTGCCTGCAGAGTGAACACCATGGGTGCTGCCAGTTCAGCTCTTGGGTGACTCTTCCAGCTCCTGGATCAGAGCTGACACAGAAACACCCTTTGCCCAGTCCCAGGGCTGTGTCCACCTCTTTAGATGTTCACTATGACTACCACAGGTCCTAGCACCAGTGTGCTGAGTCCAGTCTGTGCTGCTCTGAGCAGCTCCTGAGGCTGAGGGTTCACAAGGAGAGAGCTGTGTTGCAGCAGGTTCTGGAGACCAGGGTGCAAACACCCAGGTGCTGCTCCTGACCAGGGCTCCTGAGGCTGCAGCACCACATGGCAGGAGGCAGGAGGCAGAGAGAGGAGATGGGGCTGGACCCCTGAGTGGTGCTGGGGTCATCCTGAGGGCTCAGCCTGCCATGAATGGCCTCTACCTGCCCTTGGAGAATCCAGGTGGACAGGCCCAGGGTGTCAGTTGTTCTGTCCATTCTGGGGTCATGTGGGCATGGAAAGGGCGACAGGGCAGCAGCATTCAGGGCATATGGCTGTGCTTCAGGAGGACCCCAGACACTTGTTCCAGACAGATGCCCTTCTTCCCTTAGGTCTGACTGCACACAAGGAGGAAGGGAAGCCTACATCACAGATGACAGATTAGATAGATAGATAGATAGATAGATAGATAGATAGATAGATAGAAACACTCATAAATACTGAAATAGGATAAACCAATCCTCACCCTCAACACAACAACAAATCCATGAAGACACTGGCTGCTCCTACTCCCAGGCCCCTCACAAGATGGGGCTACTCCTGGCCCTGTGGACTCAGCCCATGACAACTGGAAGTGAGGACAGAGCCTGGGTTTCTCCCTGCCCACACTAGGGCCCTGTGCCCACCACAGTTGGCAGCAGCATGTGTACCTGAGTATTCTGTGCCAACTGGATGCTCCTGAGCTGAAGGAGGCCCTCACAGGGAGGCACAGCCTTCCCCCTGTAGGGAGCCTCTGAGGCCCTCAGCTGGATGCCTCCCTGGAGAGCAGGTGGCAGCAGAGGGGAGAAGACACACAGCACATTTCCAATGCAGGAGGGTTCTGAGGACCTCACAGGTGTGTGCACCTGGGAGCTGGAGGAGGGTCAGGGCAGCAGTCATGTACAGGTTGAGAGCAAAAGACCAGGTAACCAGTCACTCTTGCCACACATGAGCTGTTGGACACAGTGAACCAGCACTCAGGCTTCTGTGTGATTTTACATCTGCACCAGGGAGTTAGCACAGACACCTCCACCATATGATCTATTTATTATTACTAAATAAATTAAAATAAGAGAAAATAAAATCAAAATAAAAGAAATTCTCCCCTCCTGACTGCTCCTCTGTCCACCATGCTGCCCATGACACTCCCATCTGCCCGCAGATCTGCTCTACCTGGGCTTCCACCCAGAGCTGCTATATAGCAGGAGCACATGCAAATAGGGCTCCCCTCTGCTCATGAAAACCAGCCCACCTGACCCTGCAGCTCTGCACAGGAGCCCAGCCCTGGACTCCCAGCTCAGCCCACTCAGTGATCAGGACTGAACACAGCTGCTCACCATGGAGAGTGTGCTCAGCTGAGTTTTCCTGGTGGCTGTTTTCAAAGGTAATGAATGGAGAACCAGAGACCCTGAGTGTGTGAGTGGACAGGAGTGAGAGGAAGAGTGGATGAGTGCCAGTGTCCTGACCAGGCTGCCTCTGTGTTTGCAGGTGTCCAGTGTGAGGTGCAGCTGATGGAGTCTGGGGGAGGCCTGGTGCAGCCTGGGGGTTCCCTGCGACTCTCCTGTGCAGCCTCTGGATTCACGTTCAGTAATTACTACATGCACTGGGTCCGCCAGGCTCCAGGGAAGGGGCTGGAGTGGGTCTCATACATTAGTGGTGGTAGCAGTGACATAAACTATGCCAACGCTGTGAAGGGCCGATTCACCATCTCCAGAGACAACTCCAAGAACACCCTGTACCTGCAAATGAGCAGTCTGAGAGTCGAGGACACAGCCACCTATTACTGTGCTAGAGACACAGTGAGGGGACCTCAGTGTGAGCCCAGACACAAACCTCCTGCAGGGTGGCCAGGTCCAGCAGGGGGCGCTCAGCACACAGGAGCTCAGGTCACTCAGGAGCAGGTGCAGAGGGAGGAGGGAGCAGCTCAGCTCAGGCCCTGAGGTCCCTGCCCACCAGCACCTCCTGACTCCACCTTGCCTGCAGATACTCAAGGTCCCTCCTCTGCCAGATCCCCTGTGAGGTGATTCTTCTCTAGGTCTTGCTTGTCTGGAATTCTCTCAGCACAGACCAGGCAATTTTGCAGATGGAGATGAATTTTCAGGGACGTTTCCTGAACAGCACCTTTAAAGTGAACTGTATGAATCTTTCATTTCCTTATTGGGGATTGAATCCAGGGTGCTCCACCTTGATGTCCATTCTAGGTTTTATGTGTCTTATTTGGAGACAGGTTCTCCCAAAGATGCCCAGGCTGACCTTGAAGTTATGATTCTCCTCCCTCAGCCCGAAGTGTCCCAGGGACTACAGGTGAGCTCCCCACACCTGCTGAACTTTACACACTCCTGATGCCATGTCTCACTCCCTGTCTGTTCAGGTGATTCCTAGTCCCCTTCCCATGATTCCTTCCCTTTCCCCCTCCACCCAGTGACCTACCTGTGCTGGATCAGGTCACAGAACACAGTTCTCCCTGGAGCCCACCTACTGCCAGAACTTTCCACCCCTGGGGACCATGTGCAATGTCTGGAGGGAGTTGTTTTCACATGTGAAGTAGGGATTTTCCGGGCTTCTCATTTTTATTGACCAATGAGGCTGCCACACCTCCAACCATCACAGGACAGCACCCACAGCAAGGAATTATTTGACATGAATATCTATGGACTAAACAGAAAAAGGGGGAAAGAAAACCTAAACTTTATTGAAATGTACAGAAATGTGTGTATTCAGAGTGAAACTTGGTGTGTGTGAGCTGTCTGTCCCTCATGATGAGGCTCTGTGACACCACACCCAGGGCTCCATATGGTGGACACACCCACTCCTCATGCAGCTGTGCATGGCCTGTGGACAGGGGTGAACTAAGCAAGGTCTTCAAGAGAAAGGGGCACCCTGGGCAAGGACCCAGTGGGAAGGATGGTCAGCTATTCAGCTCAGCTCTGCCACTGGCCTCAGGCCCCAGAAGAAATGCTGTGCCCACGACCACACTGACCCCATCTCACTATGAGCTGACGTTGAGCCTGAGAAGCCCCAGGACACCTGGCTGCTGGGGAGAGGCAGCGTGGAGCCTGCCTGGGTTTCCAGCCCCTGTGGCTGCATTGCAGGGTGACAGACAGGGACACCTGGGCTCTGTCCCTGCTCACATCAGTGCCCACCCTGTCCTGAGGGTCTGCTCCAGTCTGGGTGAGGATGAGCAGTGGCAATGTTTACATCCCAGATGGTCCTAAGAACTCAGCAGCTGTGGGAAGACATGAAACCACCAGTCCCCTTTGATTTCAGCACTGACACCATCAGTCAGCACACTGGTGTTTTATTTTCATTTTAATACACTTTTAGCTGTAGGTGGGCACAATGCCTTATTTTACTGGTTTATTTCCCAGGTGCTGAGGATCAGACCAGGCCTCCCACAAGGGCTCTGCACTGGGCCTCAACCCAGCCCCACACACTCCTACTGCTGTTGTGATACATTGGTTTTTCTTGACACTCCCTGGGTCTCTTCCTGAGGACTCTCCAGTGCCAATGGTCACACAGGACAGTGGGGCTCCTCTGACATGGTCACAGCAGGTGGGACATGGTGGCTGCGCTCTTTCCCCAGGGCTTCCTCCTTCCTCCACCCTCCCCTCCCCCGCCCCTCCCCCACCCCTCCCTCTTCTCTCCTAGTTTTCTGGTATTTATTTATCTTCTCTATTTAGTGCCACTCACCTTCTGAGTTGGTCCACACACAGTTGGATCCCCTTGTCTGACCACCTGTCCTGGAGGGTGGGGAACTGCCTTTCTCCTTCACAGTGGCTCAGCTGCACCAGGGTGAGACTGTGGGTCTGCGAGGGCAACTGACCACCACCTGCACCTGTGACCTGTGTAGAGATGTGGCTTGAACCCCCTCCTTCTGGGAGTCCCTGTCCCTCTGCTGTTCTTTGGGGCAGAGTGCTGGAACATCACTCCCTCCAATCCTCCTGAGACCCAGTCCCCAGCCCTGTCCATCACACTCTGTCTCCCACAGGTCTGTCTGTCCATTCAGATGGAAGTGCCCATTGATCTTATCCACACTTAGACCTCCAGCCAGGACCCAGTGTCTCTCCTACTCCCAGAAAGGGGCTGGGGCTGGGCTCCGAGGACCCAGTGAAGAGTGCACCTAAGTGGCTGTCCAGTCTGGGACACTCAAAAGCACGTCCTCCTGTGCAGGAGAAATAATAAGAAGGGGAGAGTGGAGGGGATTCTGAAATGAAGTGTGTGAGCAGAGGTGCCCTGGAGGGTGTCCACGCCTGCCCATTGAGTCCCTTCAACTCCAGCCTCTCCCAGCTCTGGCACCTGTGCTGGGAAGGTCAAGTACTGCATGGGGGTTGCAGGCCTTCTCCAGCCAGGACCCTGGGCTTTCCCTGGTAAGCACAGCCCAGCTCCCCTGAGGTCAATGTCTGCTGGGCTGAGGTCTGTTACTGACCCTGCTTCTCCAGGCCTGGTGGGAAGGTGTCCCTCCTCCTCTGAGGGAGGGCTTGTCCTCCCCGTGGTCCGTGCACCCCAGACCAGCTGCAGTCTGTCTCCTGAGCCAACCTTCTTTACTCTGGGAGCCAGTGCTTTCAGCTTTCTCTGAACATCAGCTCACGAGGTGCCACCTGCCTTTCCTGTGGCCCTGCCTCAGTGCCTGCTGCTCAACTGCTGAGCTCCTTCTCTCCTGGGACCTGCTGCAGCTCCGTGGGATCCCCTCAGCTGCCTTCTCCATTCCTGCTACCTCATTTTCAATTCCAACTTATTTTCTGGGAAAGACTTAGTTCCCTGTTCTCTTTGTTTGCATTTTACAGAGGAGCTGTCCATATCATTAACTGACCATGTTCTCATCAAGTGCTTCACACTAAAACATGGTGATTGACACCTACATAAGAAGGCCCTGGGAATACCAAATTGTGTACAGACCCCTCCCTTTGCTTTACACGTGCAAGGAGAGCCCACAGCCTCCATGGATTAGTGCAACTGTGCAAAGGTAACATGAAGTCTAAATACCAGTTTCAGATTTCTAATGCAATAGTGCACAACCCTGGGTGCAGTAGTTCCTGATGCCAGAGATTCAGGATTTGAAATTTCCATTCTGGCTCAGTGTGGTGAGGAGAATGTAATACTGACTCACTAGTTCACATATGAATGATGGGTGAACTTGCTGATGCTCTTGGCATGCACACCTGGGGAGGCTTGAGGCCCGGAGTGTGCACAGGGAGCTGAGGTCACCCACTCCTCTCACAGCTTTCTTCCTGCCCTTCAGGGGCAATTTCGTGTAGGAATTCCACATTTTTTCTATGTTGGCAAGTTGGCACTTACATTATACCCAGGGATGTTGGTATAGTGCCCTTTGTCCTTCCTCAGTGTTAGAAGGAGGGAAGATTGTAAGAGGGTAAGTATGTGAGTAAAAGTGATTTTCTGGAATTGTAGTGCTGTCCATGAGCTCAGGGTGAATGAATCACAAATTTGATGTTACAGAAAGAGGCAGAGAAATCAGCTGATCTGAGCTTGAGGGTGCACTGGGAACTGGACACTGACCCTAACTGGGCATGTGGCCCTGGTGACATCTGGACTGACCAGATTATTGGATTCCTCCAGTGAAAATACAGAAGTGCCACCAACGGTGTCTCTTGGAGTTGAGGCTGAAGTGTGCACGGCCAGGCTGCTCAGGGTGAGGAGATGAGAAACCTTCCCTGGATGGAGCTGCTGGTCTCACGCAGGCCAGAAGGTGAGGCAGGTGCGAAGGCTGAACCTGCGGGTTGAGCACCTTCTTGGGACAGGAAGAATGTGGCAGGATTTTCTCTAATTTCTTGCAAGTGCTGCATAGGAGGTGGTAGGTGACGGAGCAGGTTGTGAATTTACATGGAAGTGACTAGTTTACAAGGACCCCTATGACCCAAGGTGTGGTTTCAGGGGACCAACCTGTGACCAGAGGTCAGCAGGAACCAGTCCTGTGTGTCCCTGGGAGCAACAGGTTGGCAGCCAGTAACTGAATGTCTGCAGTGGCGTTGAGGATTGGAAGTCCCCACATAAGGGGCTGGACTACACAGTGTTGTGGGTGTTACACTCACACAAGAGGCAGAAACCATCTTTCTTCCCTTCATTTTACCATGAAATACATACAGAAGTTTATTGATCTCTCTCAGAACTCATGTGTCACCATCCTACTGATGGACAGCTCAGTGGTTTTCTCTGAAGGACACTTTCCTGGTGCCTGGGTGGACAGCTCAGGACGCGTCCTCTCGTGCACACGTCTGTGGATGCACTCGTCAGGTGGACAGGCCACATCAGAGGGTGGAGGGAGGGGAGTGTGCACAGAGCACGCAGCTCTGTCCTCCTGAGGCCCTGACTCTCCTTTCTGCTGTGTCACCCCAGGGCTTGCTGTGACCCCGACTCTCAGCAAGGTGAGCACCTGAGCTGTGCTTGAGAAACCATCAGTACTCACTGGTCCAGGATGTGACGGACAAGGGCCTCAGCTCTGCCACCTGGTTCCATCATTGGGAGGAGCAATCTCGACCTCCACCCCATGCTGAGGGCACCACTCTTCACCACAGCAGCATACAGCACCCACCTGTGCCCTCAGCAGGAGCAGGGGAGCCTGAGTAATCATGGAATACTACTCAGATAGGAACAATGGAGGGCTCTCATTTGGGACAACGCAGGTGACCTGAGGACACTGCACTCATTGACATAAGCCAGGCACAGAAAGACAGGAACCATTGCCTCACTTACAGCTCTGATCTAAAGTTTCCCAGAGGTGCACAGAGGAGAAGGAGGCTAGCAGGGCCTGGGGCAGTAGACCTGGGAGAGGCTGGTCAGAGTGGGGCTCACTTCTGATAAGCAGGAGGAGAACCTCCAAGACAGCTGCTCAGCAGGAGGTTCTGGTGAGTCCCACCTACTGTGCACCTGCAGCAGTGCTGAGAGAGCAGGCTTTGATTTCTCACCATGGAATGGTGGAAGTCAGAGCTGCAGCACCTGCTAATACCTGGATCAGCCTTTCCACCACGGGTGCCCATCGGGAACCTTCATCCTAGGTAAAGGGA